CCAGCTGCTTTCATGTCAGGCGGACATTCCAAAGTGCTTCACAATATACTGTGAAGTGAATTTTGTGGGCGAAATGCTGCAGGCAATTGCACACAGCAGTGTCCCACATACAGTCGTGGATTGAGTGACTCCATTATTTTTATTTTTGAAGGGAATATTACCCCAGGAAAGCGATCCGCCAATCGACTAACCACCAGGTTCCTACTTGCTGCTAAGTAAACAGAGGCGTGTGGACTAAGGAAAGTTGCCCAACGTTTCGCCCTGTCTGGGAATCAAACCCAGGTCCTCTCAAGTGCTCTAACCACTAAGCTACAGGACTCCACATACTGCGGGATTGGGGGGGAGGTAGAGTAACTGCTGGAGAGCAATGTCCGGCATGTTTCCCAGAGAAAGTTGGGGAGAGTTGACATTGCTGGTGGCAAGCTGAGAGTGAAATCAGATCACCGTGGGTCTTTGCAATGTCAGTGCCGGTGTCACCCTGGACAACCAGAAACATCAGCTGGAATGTGCGTTGCTATCAGGGGGGAACCGTAATAATCCCACTCCGCTGTGGGGAAAAGAGAAGGGGGTTTCTTTCTCTCCTGGCCGACAACTCCCCCAGATACAATCACTCGCTCACTTGTAGGAGTGCTTGTAGGACATAGTTGTACACTAATTGGCTTCCAATTTCACCTGTGAAACACAACAGTTACTGCACTTTACAGTATTACCTGTGAAGTTTCGAGACGTCCTTCTGATGTGAAAGGCGCTGCGCCAAATGTAATATTATTTTAGCTTCCCGACTCCCTTCAACCAACTACAAACACACGCAACAACTTGCATGTATATAGTGCTCCTCAGACAGTCTCACACACATACAGAGGTGCGCACATGCGCGCACGCACGCAGACACACACACACAGGCATAGTGATACACAGACACCGTCCCAACACACGCACACGCAGGGAGGCCCGCACACAGAGAGGCGCCCGCACACAGAGAGGCGCCCGTACACACAGAGAGGCACCCGTACACACAGAGAGGCACCCGTACACAGAGAGGCGCCAGCACACAAAGAGGCGCCTGCACACAGAGAGGCGCCCGTACACACAGAGAGGCGCCCGTACACACAGAGAGGCACCCGTACACAGAGAGGGGCCTGCACACACAGAGAGTTGCCCACACACAGAGAGGCGCCTGCACACAGAGAGGCACCCGTACACAGAGAGGGGCCTGCACACACAGAGAATTGCCCACACACAGAGAGGCGCCCACACACAGAGAGGCGCCCACACACAGAGAGGCACCCACACACAGAGAGGGGCCTGCACACACAGAGAGTTGCCCACACACAGAGAGTTGCCCACACACAGAGAGGCGCCCACACACACGCCCGCACACAGAGAGAGGCCCGCACACAGAGAGAGGCGCCCGCACACACAGAGAGTTGCCCACACACAGAGAGGCGCCCACACACAGAGAGGCGCCCGCACACAGAGAGAGGCGCCCGCACACACAGAGAGGCGCCCGCACACAGAGAGAGGCGCCCGCACACAGAGAGGGGCCCGCGCACAGAGAGAGGCGCCCGCACACAGAGAGGCGCCCGCACACACAGAGAGTTGCCCACACACAGAGAGGTGCCCACACACAGAGAGGCGCCCACACACACGCCCGCACACAGAGAGAGGCGCCCGCACACACAGAGAGAGGCGCCCACACACAGAGAGGCGCCCGCACACAGAGAGAGGCGCCCGCACACAGAGAGAGGCGCCCAAACACATGCCCGCACACAGAGAGGCGCCCGCACACACAGAGAGGCGCCCGCACACAGAGAGAGGCGCCCGCACACACAGAGAGGCGCCCGCACACAGTACCGTGTGTGGAGGGGGCAGGACATGGAGTCACACAGACAGAGTTATGCCATTCCAGCTTGTAACCCAGGTGTTTATTAGCATTGTTAGTACATTGAGGAAGTGAAGCAGTGTGTAACAGAGAGCTTCACACTGCTATTAGTCAGGTTGTCAGAACACTGATCACACAGTGTACACGCACCCTCGCTCGCACACACACATACTCACACCAGTACACACTCACATGTATACACACACACACACACAGAGCCAAAATCACCTTTCCCCCCATGTTTAAATAAAAAATAAATGTAGTGTTAAAAGAATATAAAAATAAAAATCTTAAATGCTGTGTTTTCAGTACTAGTGAGAGATGAGAGGCAGTGAGCAAACCGCGAAATGGGGTGGGGGTGGGGGGGGGTGTGGTCAGACATACAAACAGACAAGAGAGGAACTCTGCAACTCTCTCCCCCAAAAGGCTGTGGATACTGGATTAGTTCACATTTTCAAGACTGAAGTGGATAAGATGTTTGTTAGGTCAGGGCATCAAACGATATGGGGCAAGTGCAGGTAATTGGAGTTGAAATGCAGAGCAGCCATGATAGGAACATAGAAACAGGGATAGGCCATTCAGCCCCTCGAGCCTGTTCCGCCATTCTGTAAGATCATGGCTGATCTGTACCTCGACTCCAATTACCCACCTTTGCCCCGTATCCCTCGATACCCTGACCTAACAAATATCTATCCACCTTAGTCTTGAATCTACTAGAATGGCAGAACAGGCTCGAGGTATTGAATGGTCTCCTCCTGTTCCTATGTTCCCATGACAGACAGACAGGGCGGGCAGCCCAGCGAGCTCCAGGGTTGGGTTGGGCACTGAGACTACAGGATCACGGTGACAAGGAACAAAGCGAGGCCCTGGATCCCAGAATGGTGTGAGGGTTCAGCCCGGGAGCTCTGTACACTTAGCCCAGGAACAGGTTGACAGCCATTTCCTCGGGGGCCGGGAGGAATGGAGGGAGCCGGGGTAGAAGGGAGTTTGGGAACAAGATGCTGAGTGGAATGTAAATGTGAAGTGAGAAGGTGTCGGACTGAGCGAGGCAGAGTCGGAGATCACAGATAGTTACTGAACAGAGAGACGTTCTCACACAGCCTCGTCTGTCAAACCAGATCACTGCGCATTACAGCAACAGTTCTCTCGCGTAGTGACTGACAGCAGCTAGAGTCCACTCCCCGGACAAACATTAAAGGCTTTGGGTGATAGGCGAGGTGATGAGTGATGGGAGGGGCAATGGGCAAGGCCAGGTGGGGCCAGGGGTGATGGGCAGGGTGAGGGTTGATGGAAGGGCGAGAGGGGCGGTGGTGGGTGTGAGGGTGGGACAGACACAAGTTACTGTCAGACTCCGAGTCTCTGTCAGACACACGTCACTGTCAGGCGCTGAGGAGGATGTGAAAAATGGTTGCACAAAAGAAGGTTTAAATATTAAAATAAAAAACAGATGTAACATAATCTCCAATGAAAGTAATGAACGAGGCTGGGAAGAGGTACACTCAAGAGGCAATGGCAACAAGCCAGGCCGGACTGTGCACACACACACACACACGTGCACACACGCGCACACACACACACGCACGCACGCGCACACACCCGCGCACACACATGCTCACACACACATGCGCACCCTATCACACAGGCAGTGAGGGTTTCACAGACATACTCACTGGCAGTGAGGGTCACACACACACTGAGAGTGAGGGTCACACACTGGGAGTGAGTGTGTCACACACTTTGGGTGAGGGTCCCACACACACTATCACGCTGCGGGGGGTATGATTAACATCTGATTGATGCTGACTCCGCACGTTAGCTGTACAGGTCCCTCAACCAGACAATCAACTTCCCCCAAATCAATTCAGAACAATCAGGTGTCAGAAGCTCTCTGTGTGTGAACTGCTTGTCCGGAGTGGGAATTGGAGGCGGATGACAGGTCCCAACGAGGCGGTGAGGAACAGCGAGGTGGTGAAGAGGTGAGGAGTTGCGAGGCGAGCTGAGCAGAGTGAGCGCTGGAGCGAGTCCCAGGGCACACACACTGCTCAGGGGGATAGAAAGCTTCATCTACGCCGCTGGAGACAGACAGGCATCAGGGAGAGAGAGAAAGACAGAGGAGAAGGAAAGGCAGGAGAGGAGGGAGACAGGGAGAGGAAGGAAGCAGAAGCATAGGCTGTTAGTGGCAACGTTAGAAACTGGACAGTCATTATATAGACATCAATAAGAACAACGTGCACTGACCAACACCATACACGTGGGAGACCGACCGTCTCAGGTCACTTCACACAGACATCGCGGAGTAGAGGGGAGAGGGAGGAGGGGTGAGCGCAGATGCACACACACATATGCGCGCGCACAAACACACACACACACACACAATAATAGTCCTTGCATTTGATATAGCGCCTTATTACGTCTTCGGGATGTCTCAAAACGCTTCATAGAATATGTACTGTAGAGTGTAGTGTCTGCGCATTTTGTGGGAAAAAAGTGGCAGCCAATTGGGCACAGCAGTGTCCCACAAACACTTGTGGATTGAGTGACCAAATAATTGATTGATAGATAGATCAATAGATAGAAAATCAATCCTTTTAAAACAGAGTTGAGATTTCAAGGTTATTCTGTTGGTAATATAAATGTTAGCGAAACAGCAAGTGGTTCAAAAACATTGTTCTCCTCACAGACTCGCTGGTGTGTGAGTGAGTCACCAGCCCTGACGCACAGCCACTAAATACCAGCTCCATCTCATCAGCCCCTCACAACCCATCATCATTTAGCTCATCTAATCCTGCCGATTGATCAACAGCATTCAGTACTGGAGAAATATTACGATTGCGATGAGAGCAGGGAATGGGATTAGAGTAGAGAGCTCCAGTGGGGAGCGAGTACCAGCACAGACACGATGGGGAGAGAGAGCAGGGAATGGGGTTAGAGTGTAGAGAACTCCATCATAGACACGATGGGGGAATGAGATTAGATCTTGTGTCCTGGATGTGCTGTCAACAGTGTAGCAGTGACACTGTACCTAGTGTGTGTGTAACTCAGTCTAACTCCGGACACAACATGCAGAGATCCCCCCCCACCCTACACGAGAAGCTCCGCCAGTCAATAACACGGGTACCTGTGGTGTCTGCTGGCTCCACTTCCTGTTCCCCGTTATGTAGAACAGCTAGGCCAGACAACTGGGGACCTGCCGAGACAGTCACACAGTCAGCCGGTCGCTCAGTCAGCCAACCGGTCGCTCACAGTCAGCCAGCCGGTCGCACACGGTCAGCCAGCCGGTCGCTCACAGTCAGCCGGTCGCTCACAGCCAACCGGTCGCTCACAGTCAGCCAACCGGTCGCTCACGGTCAGCCGGTCGCTCACAGTCAGCCGGTCGCTCACAGCCAACCGGTCGCTCACGGTCAGCCGGTCGCTCACAGTCAGCCAACCGGTCGCTCACGGTCAGCCGGTCGCTCAGTCAGCCAACCGGTCGCTCACGGTCAGCCAGCCGGTCGCACACGGTCAGCCAGCCGGTCGCACACGGTCAGCCCGCCGGTCGCACACGGTCAGCCAGCCGGTGGCCCACGGTCAGCCAGCCGGTCGCCCACGGTCAGCCAGCCGGTCGCCCACGGTCAGCCAGCCGGTCGCCCATGGTCAGCCAGCCGGTCGCACACGGTCAGCCACCCGGTCGCACACGGTCAGCCAGCCGGTCGCACACGGTCAGCCGGTCGCACACGGTCAGCCGGTCGCACACGGTCAGCCGGTCGCACACGGTCAGCCGGTCGCACACGGTCAGCCGGTCGCACACGATCAGCCGGTCGCTCTCGGTCAGCCGGTCGCTCACGGTCAGCCGGTCGCACACGGTCAGCCGGTCGCACACGGTCAGCCGGTCGCTCTCGGTCAGCCGGTCGCTCACGGTCAGCCAGTCGCTCACGGTCAGCCGGTCGCTCAGTCAGCCACACACAGTCCAGTCACATAGGGTCAGACAGGAAAGGGTACTTTAACTTTCCATTCCGGGGGGAGGAGACGGGACCAGCAGTGTAAGGGGGCGGAGCCAGTGATGGAGTAGATCGTGGCAGGGGCGGGGCCAGCTGTGGAAGGGGCGGGGCAGCAGTGGGTGCGGGGCCAGTGGTGGGTACCTGTAGTAGGGGCAGGGCTGGGAGTGGGTTGGGGGCCCTGCAGTAGTGAGGCGGGACCCAATGGGGGGGGGGGCAGCAGTGGGGGTGGGGCCGGTAGAGGGAGTGGGGGCGGGGCTGCTAGTGGGGGCGGGGCCATTAGTGGGGGTGGGGCCAGTTGTGGGGGCGGGGCAGTCCTGGGGCGGGGCTGGTGGTGGGTTGGGCTCAGTGCTAACACTCACACTCAGCGTCTCCAGCCTGGAACTGGCTGTCGCTGTGCGCCACCGGGGCTGAGCCTTTGGGAGCCGCCTTCTCATCGTCATCCAGTAACGGCACGTACTCCTGCCGCTCCACGCTCTCCCCCACCACATCCACAAACCGCTCGGCCTCCAGCGTGGCCATGAAATCCCGCCGGATCTCAGGCTCCACCGTGTCTCGGGGCACCGCCTGGAGAGCGTCGCTCAGGTTCAGGTCGTCCATCTCACAGCCTCCTGCAACACAGCACCGCAACGGTCAGGGCAACGGTCACCATCACCAAACCCCAGTCACCAACACTGAAACCTCCGGTCAACAGCACCAACAACAAGTGGCATTTACACAGCGCCTTTCACGTCAGGAGGACATCCCAATGCCACTGGTCAGTCCGGGGTTGGTGGGAGTCCTGTAGTGTAGTGGTTACAGCACTCGCCTCGCAGTTTATCTTTCCATTCCAGGGGGAGGAGGCTGGCGGTGTAAGGGGGCAGTGCCAGCGGTGGAGTCGGTGGGGGAAGGGGTGGGGCGAGAGGACCCGGGTTCGATTGCCAGGCAGAGCGAAACCTTAAGCAAGTTTCCTTCCTCCACGCACCGCTGTTTACCCAGCAGTAAGTAGGAACCCGGTTGTTAGTCGATTGGCGGATCGCTTTTTCAGGAGTAATAATCCCTCTAAAAATTGAAAGTAAAAATAAATTGGTCACTCAATCCGTGACTGTTTGTGGGACGCTGCTGTGCGCAATTGGCCGCCGCGTTTTGCCCACAAAATATACAGTCAATTCACTTAACAGTATATTCTGTGAAACACTTTGAGGCTGTATCAAATGCAAGGATTATTATTATTATGCCCCTGTGTCTGGAATAGAATGCGCACTCTCCCTGGAGGGACGCACTCTGCTTACCTAATGCCAGAAAGCATTGGCATAGGTTGACAAGGGCCATGGTTGTGGGGTGGGGGGTAAGAGCGTGCGTGTTGCCTGGTGTAGATTGCCCGTTGTTTGCTCTCCGCAGCAAACTATGTGAGGTGCTCGCAAACAGGTTAGTAAACCAGGCGTGAGCGCTCTCTCACTGTCTGTTGCTGCTGGCTGTCGTCTGCAGTGAAAAGGCCATTTGTGACCTGGTACAGGATGAGCAGAGCCCGGGGCACCGCATATAAATATACACCAAGAGAGAGCAGGAGAGCGAGGGAGGGAGCGAGGCAAGGAGGGAGGGAAGAAGGGAGGGAGGGAGGGAGTTAGAGAGGGAGGGAGGGGCCACAGGTGATCATTGAGCTGAAAGGCAATTTAACCCCCCAATGTCTCACATCACTCACCCTACAGCGAGCGCGACAGAGCACTGCACACACACACTCCTTCTGTTCCCACTGTTTTGCCCACAAAATACAGTCACTGCACTTTACTGAAGAGCCTGCGAAGCGCTCTGAGACGTTTCGCTGAAGTGCTACGCCGCTGCATCAAATGCAAGGATCATTGTTATTTTATTATTATTATTATCTTTTAAAGGACGAAGGCCGGAGGCCGTCCTTGCCCCAGTTCTCGCACTGACACTCGAGCGGGGCAGCAGCGTTGAGGCAGCGACACTCAGCACACGCTGTTCGCAGCCGGAGGCCACGTGAGGGTTACAAAGTGGGTTAGCATCCTCTCACATCCTCCTGCGGCTGTCAGCTCGCGGTGAGCCAGACTTCCAGCTAAACAGGCTGTGGCCAGTGTCTTTCAGTGCAGCGCACAGCTGTGTGCCGGTCAGCAAGTCCTGGCACTGGGAATGCTCAACACCCCCACACACACACACACACACAGTCACACACAGTCACAAACACATCCCCACACACACACACACAGTCACAAACACACACACACACACACACACACATCCCAATACACTCAAACTCACCAACACATCCCACCACACACTCACCACTCACAAACACATCCCAACACACACTCACACACATCCCAATACACTCAAACTCACCAACACATCCCAACACACACTCACACACATCCCGACACACACTCACCACTCACACACTCACAAACAACATCCCAACACACACTCAAACACATCCCAACTCACACTCACCCCAACACACACTCACCAACACATCCCAACACACACTCACAAACACATCCCAATTCACACTCACACACTCACAAACACATCTCAACACACTCACACAGTCACAAACACATCCCAACATCCCTGACACACAGTCACAAACACATCCCAACACACACTCACACACCCCAGCACTCAGTCACACACATGTCCTACAGCACATTGACACACCCCGACACTCACACACCAACATCTCAACATACACTCGCACACCCACCCACACGCAGTCACACACATCCCAACATACACTCACACCCCACCCCGACAAACAGTCACACAGCCCAACACACTCAAACACACATTCACACACACTGAGGCACAAACTCATCCACACATCCCAATGTATATTGCCGGTGAGAGCAGTGCTGACTCTCTGACCTCCTGAATCACAGATACAGTCTTTGTCCAAACACATTCAAATCCACACATTTAAATAGAAGCCCTGACCGAGGCTCCTAACACAGACAGATCACACACAGCCTTCTCTCTCTCGCTCTCCCCCAATAAATCCCTTCAGAGAGATAATTTGAGTAAATTTGACCGCGGGATGATGTGATAAGCAGCCTTTGCTGAGCACAGCCCAGCGTTAGCCAGTAATCTGCTATCTACTGATCCCTTTCTATTCGACACACAGTCAAAACCCACAATGTACAGCTTTACAGAGATCAGCCTCGCTAGCTCCCACAGCAAGCCAACTTTGTGACGCACTCACAGAGTATTAAACGCTCGATCCTCAACCAAGGCTCCCCAAAACTGCCGGCTAATCACATCAAGCATTAGATTAAAAACATTTGCATTTTAATAATAATCCGCTCATTTGATATAGCGCCTAATCGCATCTTCAAGGCGTCTCAAAACGCTTCGCAGGTTATACTGCAAAGTGAATCGACTGTATATTTTGCAGGAGAAACACGGCAGTCAATTACACACAGCAGTGTCCTGTCCCACAAACAGTCGCGGATTGAGTGACCACATTATTATTAGCTATTTATTTTATTTCTTTGAAGGGATTATTACCCCCGGAAAAGTGATCCGCCAATCAACTAATAATAATTCTTGCATTTGATATAGTGCTTTTCACATCTTCTAGACGTCTCAAAACGCTTCACAGAATATACTCTAAAGTGTAGTGACTGTATATTTGTGGGCAACACAGCAGCCAATTGCACACAGCAGTGTCCCACAAACAGTCGTGGATTGAGTGACCAATTTATTACTGTTTATTTTTTAAGGATTATTATCCCCGGAAAAGCGATCCTCCAATTGACTAACAACCAGGTTCTTACTTAACGCTAGGTATACCGAGGCTTGTGGAGTAAGGAAACTTTTTGCCCTGGCCAGGAATCAAACCCAGGTCTCTTTCTTATGAGGCAAGTGCTCTAGCCACTAAGCCACAGGACTGCATTATATCCAGCATCTGACCGAGGTTCTCAATCGCTTCACATCAGAGCCACTCGGAGCATCATCAGAAGAGGACAGAGTCAGGGGGAGAGCATCATGGAGCCCCCAACAGTCCTGTACATGGAGTCCTGTAGCTCATTGGTTAGAGCACTCGCTTTGCAAGCGAGAGACCTGAGTTCAATTCCCGGCAGAGGGCGAAACCTTGGGCAAGTTTCCTTACTCCACACAGAGCCTAATAATAATCCCTCCAAAACCAAAAACAATAATAAATTGGTCATTTTTCAATCTACGACTGTTTGTGGGACATTGCTGTGCGCAATTGGCTGCCGCGTTCGCCCACAAATATACAGTCAATTCACTTTACAGTGTGTTCTGTGAAGCGCTTTGGGACGTCCTCCCGACGTGAAAAGCGCTATATCAAATGCAAGGATTATTATTATTATTATTATTGTTAACAGCTGTGAGCTCTCTGCTCCGCACTGTAAATGTAGTACATGCTATTTCGGAGGCATCGTCCTTCAGATAAAAACGTTTAAACTGAGGCCCCAGCACTGGCTGTTGGAGTGGATGTCAAAGGCTCTGCGTCACTATGGGAAAAGAGAAGGGAGTTTCTCTCTCCCGCAGTCCTGGCCAACAATCAATCACAATAAATCATTCGGTCACCTCACAGCTGGTGCAAATAAATGACTTCCTAATCAGTCACTACACCTGATTTAGCACGTGAAGCACTGGGAAATGTTGCCACGGCAACACAATTGGCCTCTCATGATGACATGAACCACCCACTCATGGCTGTTAGTGGGACATTGCTGCACGACGCAATCGACCCAGCCCCCACACCCCGCTCAGCGAGCACTGCCTGCGTCATGTCCCCTAACGCTCAACCCAGTGGGCTTTCAGCTCTTCTGGCCCTGTTAGTAGTCCTCGCATTTGATACAGCGCCTTATCACGACTTTGAGATGTCCCAAAGCGCTTCACAGGATTCACTACACTGTCAAGTGAACTGACTGGATATTTTGTGGGCGGAACGCGGCAGCCAATTGTGAACACGTTTCTTTTTGAAGGGATTATTATCCCCAAAAACCAATCTGTCAATCGAGTAACAACTGGGTTCCTACTTACTGCCCGGTAAATAGAGGCGTGTGGAGGAAGGAAGCTTGTCCAACATTTTGCCGGGCCAGAAATCGAACCCGGGTTCTAATCCCTACTTGTGGAGTCATGTAGAGTCGTGGTTAAAGCAGTCACCTCGCAAGCAGGGCAAAATGTTGGGCAAGTTTCCTTACCCCACAACCCCCTGTTCACCTGGCAGGAACCAGGTTGTTAGTCGTTTGGCAGTCACTTTTTCAGGGGTAATAATCCCTTTTTCAAGATCCTGGTCCTCACCTGCAAAACCCTCCATGGTCTTGCTCCCCCCCTGACTTGCTCCACTCTGACCTCCTAACCCCCTACCATCCTGCTCGCTCCCTCCGCTCAGCGGAATCAGGCCTGCTTCCCATCGCCCGCCTCGCTTGCCCCACTATTGGCAGGCGGGCCTTCCACCACTCTGCCCCATCCTCTGGAACTCCATCCCACAGTCCCTCCGTCTTGTCCCCTCCTTCGCCACCTTCAAGACTCACCTCAAATCCCTCCTCTTTGACCGGGCTTTCAATCTCCCTGCTTCCCCCCTGCCCTCCACCCTCCTCCACCCCCCCAACCCTCAGCTCGGGTCCATAACTGTTGGCCAAGC